CTTTTTTTTAACATGGCCTCCTGGACTGACCTGGTCCTCAACTTGAAAATATATCCACACCTACCCCACATACAGAATAACACTCTCGCTTTGGAAAAAAGGAACTATCCATTTAGTGACTGCTTTGATGCTGTTATATTTGATACCAGAGAGTTTTGATGCATGATACAGACAGGTGCTCTATCATTTTCTTCATTGAGGGTTGGCTAAACAAATGAGAAACACTTCTCAGTGCGACTCAATAAAGTGAAAGAGCAGCACAAACTGCAGCAGCTAAAACGATGATAAAGTTCCTCCCTGAAGCCAAAGTATTCTCTCTGACAGAAGTGTCACAGTGTTTTCATTCCCGGCACATTTATATCTCTGAGCAGTAAATCCACAAGACGTTTTTAAAGACGTTTTATTAAAACTTCCTCCGCTCTGTCGGAGCAATAAAATCGAACAAACCCAAAGTGAGAATACATTTTCACCTCAGAATAAGACTGCAGAGGATTTTCCTTCTGCAGCTACGTTTTAAAACTGAGCTTGCCTTTTTGTGCGTGCGTGTGTGTGTGTGTGTGTGTGTGTTGGGTCTGAAGGCTGTTGTTTGTACAGGAGGTCTGCAGCTTCATAACAGAAACCAGCTCACGACGTCCTTATTTAGACTCTGAGCAGCTCCAACAGCTCGGCTTGTTTATGACAGCGAGACACAAGACACAACCCAGCATTTTATACCCGCATATGGTGTGTGTGTGTGTGTGTGTGTGTGTGTGTGTGTGACAGTCAAATTATGGGGAACCAGCAGATCTTATCAGGGTTAAGTGTTTCTTTTCAGGTTTCAGATGACAGGATTTGTTTACAGGTCTAGATAAAACTCTTTTACCTCCCACTGAAGTATAACAGCAGCAGCAGCAGCAGCTACAGGACTTCATCCCTGTTTGCTTTCTTCAAACTGCAGCTCTCCTGATTTTTAGAGCGGCTTTTAGAGGGACTTTTCCATCTATCCTCTAACTCGGACAGGAACTTTCTTCAGGGACGAGGAACCTTTTGAGGAACTCCACCAGAGCTGTTCGGTCCAGTCCAACTAAACCCCGATTTATTTCCTTGTGTGAAACCTCATCATTGAACTCTGGTCTACCTGCAAACAGAAGGTTCCCTTCAGATCAAATCCTGGTGCAGTTCTGTTAAAGCATGAAAGTAAAGCGGACTAACTTATAAACCAAAAGCAGGAAGTGGCATGGATGAATATCTGTTTGCCAGTACCTTGATTAGGATCTGTGTAACCATGGCAATACACTGTAGACATATCTGTTTAACTTGGCTTTTAGGTCAGGATTTTGTTAGCTTTCTTTTGCAATGTTCTATTTAGATAATGTTTTGTTAGAATCATTGACTATTATCAATTTATTAGTTAAATTATCAGAAACAATAATGAAAAAGTAATGCAGCACGTGAGGATATGCTGCATGCAACTTAAATGTAGTTTTGCATATTGAAATAAATAAAATATTCAACTCGATTAAAACAAAAAGGGCAGCACTGCACATGATACGGAAAACACTGACACAAATCTACTGTCACTGTTGCACACACTGATGCTCATTACTGAAAATATTGCATGATTATGAACATTTTGCACATATAATAAAGGATGATATCGCGCATTTAAGCATCGGCTCAGAACGATTGTTCATGTTGCAAGTACTGAACGTAAAAATTCAAAAGTAATATTGCACACAGTGTGGGATGAATGGTAATGTTGCACATAATAAAAAAGTAAGTGTTGCACATAATTATGAACATAACGCTGCAGATAGTAAAGGAGGGTATCTAACATTAATTTAAAAAGCTAAATTGCACATACTAAGACAAGTTACGGTTGTGTCACACATTATGATGAAAAAGTAATATTGACATGAATATAAATATATTTTTTAAGAAGCTGTACTGACATAAAATGACATAATTTGGCACATATTGCACACTAGAAATGAAAAAGTTATATTACACATGATTAGGAAAGAATTATTTCTACAATGATATTGGTTATGTTGCAAAAACTGCACGATATACTAAAACAACAATTTCCCATGATTATGAACATAAAATGGCAATGATAAAAAAGTTAACATTGCACTTGATATGATGTGCAATGTTATTATTATTGCACATTATTATGAAAAAGTAAACTTGCACAGTCTAGATGAAGAAATGTTTAAAAAGATTTGAAATGTTTTAAAACGTGATAATGAACGTAAATATTTCACATGATCAGCGCTCAGTCAGGCTCCATGTTGGTCTCAGGTGCTCTGAAAGGAAGCCGTGCATCGCATCACTTCCTGTTGCAAAGGACACAAGTTCATGCGTCTTTTTCTGTGTGTGTGTGTGTGTGTGTGTGTGTGTGTGTAGCAAATAGATGTTCGTTTTCTAGTTTTTGATTTGAGCAGCTGCAGTAAATCAGAGTCCAAACCTCCGCACATTAGAAACACATCTCTCTCTTTCTCTCTCTCTGTCCGTCTCTCATTCATTCTGTCTGTCTCTCTACCTTTCTGTTTGAAGCTGAGCTGTATTTAATTCCCAGTTTCCCTCCCCCTCAGAGACTCAACACTCCATCCCAGCCTGTCCTTCCCTTTGTTACTCTCTCTTCCTCCCACACCTTCTCCCCCTCTTTCATTCCATCTCTCATCATCCGCCGCCTTCAGCTAACCAGCCTCCCAGCAGAGAATTATGAATAGAATTCAAATCAGTCGAGCTTTACTGTCTCCCACCCGCTCTCCACCTGCCCCCTCTGTGTCTGCCTCTACTTTCTAACTTTCTCCAACTGTTTCGTATTGATTATAGCTGTGACCTCACGCCCACACCGCGCCGCCTCCTATGCATTAACCCTTTCCTTCTCTCTCTGTCCTCTCTGCTGCAAGGTTTTCTCTGAGCCTCGGCACTCAGCCAGTGATTCACTGCTCACAAAATAAATAAAAAATAATAAAAACACCACCACCTCCATGACTGAGTGTTGTGATAGAGCTGAAACAGTGGTCAGAGTCTCTCCGAGCAGTGATGAAACAGGAATAAAGACTTTTCTTTTATTTAAACACTTCAGTATTTTCATTTAATGTAACTTCATATTTCTTTAACCATCATTGAAAAAACAGGTGACAGGTTTTCTTAGCTTTTATAAGATAAGTGAACAGACATCTAGTGTGTCACGGTTCGTCCTAGTTTATATGATTGTGTTTCATTCATTTCTTTCATTCTTTCTTTATTTCATGTCATTCACCGAACCTTGTCTGTTTCCTTCTCTTTGTTCACCTTCCATTGACCGGTCTCACCTTCTCAGAGCATTTAGTCTGTGTTTATATCTGTCAGCGCCAGCCTGTCTTGGTACATAATATTTATAGGTTTGTTATAGACAGTGCAAAGCATGGACGTTGGCTCAGGCTCCAAAACTCGTCTCTAAAAATCAGTGAATGACATGATCAAGATCATCAACTGTCGCTAAATTGGAAATACTGACTCAGCCTAATTTTCGGTTGACCTAACAACAGGCAAAGAGGCAGCCTGACACCCTTACCTTTCACCCTCCATTCAAACGGTATGTTTATTTAAAAAATGGCAACCTTTCCTTTTGCAGTCCCCTATACCATTACATGGTATAGGGGACTGCAAAACATAGTCCCTATGTAATTACTATGTAATTACATAGTAATTACATGGTAATTACTATGTAATAACCAGGTGTTAAGGGTATAATGGTTATCACCATATGTTCATGCTGGTCACAGCTCCCTCTTAATTACTTTTGTAATTACATAACAATATGCTTTGATTACCATGTTATTATCTGGCAAATACACAGTTACTAGGAAGGGCTACAGAAAAACCATTTATTACATTAATGCAACTGAAACTGGACTTTAAAAATACATGTAAACATGTTAGTCCAACATGGATCTCTCGTACCCTGACCGACCTAGATTCTTCTGTTGGGGATCAGTTTTTTTACTTCCACTGAAACTGGCCAAAGCGATGGCGCATGTTTGCATAGCTGTGAAGTTGAACTGTAAACTGTACTGTAAGCAAAAATGAACAAAAATGTCAGAAGATAAAGGACCATGATCAGAAATCAGCCTCTAGCTAACGTCTTTGTCGGTTGTTTTGGTGCATGACTTGATGACAAGTACATGAGGAGCTTTTGGGAAAGATCTGTAAGTGGCATACAGACAAAGTGGCCTCAAGTGGACACTTGAAGAACTGCAGCTTTTATGATTATTTGCTGTCTTTTGACACATCAGATTTGCAGTCAAATTCAGCAGATGAGACTTTCGACTTCACTGTCTGAAGTCTGGGCTTCTCTTATTTAAAAGTGCGGCAGTCCATTTATAACTGATGGTCCTCCCATCCTCTTTCCTGTTTTCTCCCATTCAACTAAAACCCTCTCAGACATATTGGACCTTTATATTTCCTAATGTTTGTGGTGGTTGAACAATGCAGTCAAAACAAATTAAAATCAGGGGATGACTTGAGTCAGGCAAACTTCAGGGACCACCCAAAAACAGGATTTTGGCCCCAGTCCTGGCTGGTCTTGGATTTGCCCCAGACCTTGTCAGTTCCATTTAAACACAGTATCAGTTTTGACATTGAGCCTCCAGCTCCCTCAGTCTTCAAATATCCAAAAATCAGCTGCTACAGGCAGACTGAAGTCAGGTCACATACAGAGAGTGGTGCCAAAATCAGGAGTGGCAGTATTTGAGTCTGCAGGGATTTGTTTTGGGTCTGGAGGGAGGCTGGTTTAAGTCCAGCTATGATCTCAGAGTGAGGTGTGGATGGATAGATGAAGAGGGGTTCACCTGACAAGGTGTCCTTGCAAACTAGATACTGAACTTCTAACTTCCTCAGCGGAAACATACAGTGTTTTGACAGCGGGTTAAAGGTGACTGAGCTTTCACACACGCAATCCTGAGAATTTCGAGAAATGTCAGGACAGCCCACCCAAAATTTTTCTAAAGATGTTTTTACCACACGTCCCTTAAAGCATGAAGTTTTCACAGTCTGATGAGGGAGGGGCAGTGTCATCGAGGGAAGGGCATGACTCCAAAAGGATGCAGTGACGAGATGGTGATGAAGCAGTGTTTGAGGATCTCTCACCCTGAAAACACATCAACATTTTAACAAGTGAAAAAGCAGAAAAAGTCAGGTGAATCTTTCGTCCTCTTGGGTTCACACCCTCATCTCATCCCGAAGAGTTTTGGGAACCTTGCAGCATATTTAAATTCAGCAACAGACTTTCACAGACTGTTCGCCTGATCAAGGTCTGATACTAAAACACTGCAAACAAATGCAATCGAGAAAATCAGACAGTATGCAGGAGCTGGTTTGCAATCTTTGAAGGACCCATTTCTCTCTGTCACGCCTGTCGCACAAGATAAATGTGGAAAGTAATACTTATTACTTATACTCTGGCCTACACAGTGAGTAATGCAGAGGTTACATGGTTTTAGCTGTGAGTTTTCTGCGGCTGACTAAAGCTGCACACCTAAAGCAAACGACTCTTGCTCTGAATTGATTCAATCTTGATTTATGAATGATAAAAGAGACAATTGGAGGAATGTCACGATGTGTTGCTCATGTCTAAAAAATATACAGCAAGTTAAGTATCTGGGCGTTTTGATTATCGCGATCCTGGTACGTCAAAGTTGCCCTGCAGTGACAGCACAGATGATCAAAGTCAAAGAGTGGGAGGGTAGAAACGGCTACACCAGAACAGTCGAGTCTTTCTCTTCTTTTAGTTTTTGGCTGCAAATAAACTCACAGATGTCTTCGATCGTTGGCTCTTTTTGGACATCCACTTTTGAATAAAATTCCTCTGTATCCCAGATCATGTATTTATGAGGACAGTGAACCGTGCTTGACTGTATATCAGCTGTTGCTCAGCTGTTTTAACTTCATATTACAGCTGATTGATGCCATGAATGTCCAAACTTTCTGCTCAGATGCAAAATCAGTGATACATAAAGTAGCTGTCCTGGTTCCAACAAAACCACAGGCCAAAGAAGAAATCTGGCAGCCTGCTGTTGTGGTAAACTTTTGCACAATACGTGTCGTAATGTTCTATTTTCACTCCAACATCTGCATGGGTCTCCAGACTTTCTTTGCTCAACTACAGACTGAAGAGCGGAGCTAAACATGTGTCCCCTTCCCTTTAGTCCCCGCCTTTACCAGCCACCAATCAAAAGTCTCCAGCTTGAATCAGCTGACCCTGTTTGACAGATAACTTCTTACCTCAGAGTTGCAGTGGTGTGTTTTTGGTGCAACAATGAAGGCATACTGGTTTACCCACAGTTCATTTGTTTACCTGAGACAGAAGGAGAATTCAACTTCTGCTTCCACCTGGTAAGATGGATCGCAAACAACTTGGGCAAGATTAACTTCTGTTTATTTTGCACCGATCTACGGGCCAACTGTTATTCAATTAAACTACATCTATTACTCTCATTTCTAAACTTCATTGTGTTGGTCAGGGACATCTACACTCACCGGCCACTTTATTAGGTACACCATTGCTAGTAACGGGTTGGACCCCCTTTTGCCTTCAGAACTGCCTCAATTCTTCGTGGCATAGATTCAACAAGGTGCTGGAAGCATTCCTCAGAGAGCTTGGTCCATATTGACATGATGGCATCACACAGTTGCCGCAGATTTGTCGGCTGCACATCCATGATGCGAATCTCCCGTTCCACCACATCCCAAAGATGCTCTATTGGATTGAGATCTGGTGACTGTGGAGGCCATTTGAGTACAGTGAACTCATTGTCATGTTCAAGAAACCAGTCTGAGATGATTCCAGCTTTATGACATGGCGCATTATCCTGCTGAAAGTAGCCATCAGAAGTTGGGTACATTGTGGTCATAAAGGGATGGACATGGTCAGCAACAATACTCAGGTAGGCTGTGGCGTTGCAACGATGCTCAATTGGTACCAAGGGGCCCAAAGAGTGCCAAGAAAATATTCCCCACACCATGACACCACCACCACCAGCCTGAACCGTTGATACAAGGCAGGATGGATCCATGCTTTCATGTTGTTGACGCCAAATTCTGACCCTACCATCCGAATGTCGCAGCAGAAATCGAGACTCATCAGACCAGGCAACGTTTTTCCAATCTTCTATTGTCCAATTTCGATGAGCTTGTGCAAATTGTAGCCTCAGTTTCCTGTTCTTAGCTGAAAGGAGTGGCACCCGGTGTGGTCTTCTGCTGCTGTAGCCCATCTGCCTCAAAGTTCGACGTACTGTGCGTTCAGAGATGCTCTTCTGCCTACCTTGGTTGTAACGGGTGGTTGTTTGAGTCACTGTTGCCTTTCTATCAGCTCGAACCAGTCTGGCCATTCTCCTCTGACCTCTGGCATCAACAAGGCATTTCCGCCCACAGAACTGCCGCTCACTGGATATTTTTTCTTTTTCGGACCATTCTCTGTAAACCCTAGAGATGGTTGTGCGTGAAAATCCCAGTAGATCAGCAGTTTCTGAAATACTCAGACCAGCCCTTCTGGCACCAACAACCATGCCACGTTCAAAGTCACTCAAATCACCTTTCTTCCCCATACTGATGCTCGGTTTGAACTGCAGGAGATTGTCTTGACCATGTCTACATGCCTAAATGCACTAAGTTGCCGCCATGTGATTGGCTGATTAGAAATTAAGTGTTAACGAGCAGTTGGACAGGTGTACCTAATAAAGTGGCTGGTGAGTGTATATGGTAGTTTTGCATGATTTGGTGCTCAAAGGACCCCTTGTGTATATTCTCCTGTTTTCAACACGGCTTGTGGGTGTTACTTTTTACACAGCTGTATTATCATAAAATGACTCTAAAGTTGTGACCTTGGAGCAAACATCAGGCTAGTAGGCTAGTAGGGTTGTCCTGATACATACAGGATAGTGGTCTGATATCAGAAAAAAAAAAGGTATTAGATTATATCGGCCTGCATCTAAAATCTAAAATCTCCAGTATCAGCACTCCGATACATGCAGTCCATTCCAGACTCCGCTCCGGCACCCCTAGCTAGCAGCGCCCGGATCTAGCATACAGAGCCCCCGTGTGGCAGTATTTTCCGTTTAAGTCCGAAAAAGACGTTGTAGCGGAGCAGTGTTGTTTTCGTCAGGCAGGACGAAAACTTAAATGACGACGTCAGACCCCTTTTTTCCTTGACGAAAATGAGACTAAGACGAACGTCACCAAAGCTCTGTAAAGACTAAAATGTGACGAAAATTATATTCATTTTCGTCAGACGAGAACGAGACGACACTAAATTGTTATTAGGTGGACGAACAAAGTTTCAAAACATGCTTTTTTTTGTCCTAACAGTCACGCCCCCATCACACACGCACCAAAAGCCTCGCTCGCGCACAGCTGCGCGCACACACTCATACACATACACAGAGCGGCAGGTGGACGAGGCGCGCACACACACACACCGTGGCGGCAGGCACAGCAGCGGTGCCCGGTGGCCGAAAAAAGAGGGATGATTTTTGGTCCTACTTCAGATACAGTCCAAGTGACAATAAAACACAATGTCTTGTACGGGGGCGGGGAGACGAGACAGACGACAGTTGTGGAGCCACAGCTTCTTCATGCTGCCGCTTCAAACTGTCGGGAAAGAACACCACGAACCTCAAAAGGCACCTTTACATCGACTAAAACTAGACTAAAACCTTTTGAGTTTTCGTCGGACTAAAACTAGACGAAAACTATCAAGGATAGAAATGACTAAAATGGGACTAAAACGAAGAAGCATTTCGTCAAAATGACTAAGACTAAAACTAAATCTAAAATGCCTGCCAAAAACAACACTGTAGCGGAGTTCAAAACTTGTAATGCGCAAGTCTGTGCTTATATCGGTTTATTATTGGTATCGGCCAACACTAAGGCTACAATATCAGTATCAAATCAGAGATAAAAAAGCTGTATCGAGACACCCCTAGAGGCTAGTGCCCAGTTAGCTCCTCATTAGCATACAGTGGCTATTGTTACAAAAGCTGTTATTTGACAGTTAACTACAGTTTTTGGTTTCAAGCCTTTATTGATAAACAGCCCCGGGTCTCCAAAACATCTGAGACACAAATTCAGCTCATATTGGTCTTTGTTTACAGAGGAGTCATGGTCGAAGTGGAGAGTATGAACAGCTGTGACGTGACTGTTATTGCCCTGAAACTTAAAAACTTCCCACTTGTTAGCCAGGCCCATTTTACCATGGAGATTGGGGACCCTGCTGAGTCATGAAATAAGCAAACCACAACTCACTTAGCTGAAATACACCAGCTTGTTCAATCACAGGTTGTAAGATAGATGCGTCATAAAGAGAAGATGTTAAATTATACGTATGCTGAAAACACAGACGCGGTGAGCATATAAGTGAAACAACATCCTGCTGTCGTTATGATGCTCGCTGCTGTGAATATTTCAGCGACAAGGGGAAAGAACATTATCATACATCATCATCAACTACGAGAGCTTCACGGAAAAAAAGCTGCAGAGTTCACCTTGGGGACGTGACAGGGTGCTTCAACAAATTAAAATATGTAAAATGTCATCTAACAGCATCTGCAGTTAAAGAGATTGAATATCCACAGTGACAGGAAGGAGGATGAGGAACACAATCATTTGAGCTGAAGAGTACAAATTGGTATAAAAGTGTATGATATCAGTGTTTAAATAACTTTACCCCCAAGTACAGCCTCCCACTTAACTCTCTTTGTTACTGTTTTTTGCTGCTCGGTGTTAAATATTCCACAAGTAGGAGATTATTTCATCAGTCTAGCTACTGATCAATTGTTCTGCCTCCGCGCACAATGTTAAAAATATGTTGAAGTTTATAATCGGCTGTAGCAATGAGCTGGAGATCAAGGCTTACAGCTGCTCCATTTCACACTTTCACACACCTGAGGTTCAAATATTGACTGATGTCTTTATGCTGAGTTTAAAGGATTTTTTTTAGCAAAATTGGGCGCTTTGACTTAATCAAGAGTAAACCTTTAAGTGGATAGAAAATGATAAATTTCTCCATGTGGAGGCAGATCTGCTCGATTTAGAAGAACAGCCACCAGTTAATCAGTGTCACAGCGTGAGCACCATGACTGCAGCACAGAGCGGGTTATATAATGGATGACTGTGGGATTCCCAGCAGCTCTGCCTCCTCCACGCAGCAGTCTGAGGAGAGGCGGGGGGGCTGCAGGATGGATGGCAGCAGAGGGAGGAGGCTATCGAGATTGTGATCATGAGTGTGAAAGGCTCAGGTTGGCCTCCAGCTCCTCCACCCTTCAATAATCCAATAATTACAGTGAGATCCAACCAGAGGATCCCTGCGCTGCTGTAGCCTGAGAGAGGACAGGACACATCCATATTGTACTGCTATAAACCGAGGGTGGGAGTGGCTGCGTCTGCAGGGGATTGGCTGGGCCAAGTCCAGCATGGATCACAGTTTGGAGAGGTCCCAGTTCACCTCCTGGATGTTGCAGGGATGTCCTTGACCAGCGTACAAAACTCCTCGCTGCTCCAGGGAGGCTGTTATGCAGCAACCCATTACTCAAACATCTCCCCCACGACTGCACGTCTAAGAGTATGTTCTCAGTCACATGTGTGTGCATGTAAGTGTATAATGGAGTAAAAGTATCGAATATCCCTCAGAGGGGTTAATAAGGTAATTCTTCTTCTTCTTCTATTGAGTCTGATTGGACAGCATGACAAATGACTTTAAACAGAAATGTCAGTCAACAGGAGGAGTCTTCTCCCAGTAATCCACGGAGCACAAACTGGGAATATTAGAGCAAACCATCAGCTGTATGTATGCAAATGTGGATAAAGCCTGCTCTATTGTTCAGGCAAGCTTGATGGTCAACGAGGGATGACTCCACGGGTTGGAAAATCAATTAAATGGTATAGAAACAGATGAGAAAACGACCCCAGTGCTCACCTGATTTACCTCCGGAAAAAATCTCCTCTGTTTGTTGATTTTAAGTCTTCTTCAATTCCAGACCCCATCAGCTATTGTTTGATGAGAATACAGGTACAATAAATAATTTCCAGGCTGGATCTCCTTTACTGTGAGCTTCAGTGTTTACAGTCCAGCTGTTCGAGGAGCGACCATGTGACCAAGAAGGCAGAACCGGACCCACTGGCTCCTCCAGGTGAGTCTGCTAAAAGAAACACTGTCAGTCCAAGTTTGTCTCATTTCCTGGAGGATCTGTTGGTCTTTTACTTGGAGAGTCTCAGTTTCATTAACGGCCACTACGACGAGGACTACAGTCTCTGTTTCAGCTTATATGTGTGTGTTTGTGTGTGTGTGTGTGTGTGTGTGTGTTAACAGATGGTACCACAAGTGTCCGACGTACGGATGTAAATCTCAGTATGAATAAATGAATCTGTGTAAACAATATAATGATAATAATGATAACTTCATTTATGTATCACCTTACTACAGTACTCAGTACACAGTACTTTGACGGACAAATCAGAGAAAATATGAAAATTATGAAAGCATAGGAAAAATAAATCATAAGTCATAGAGAGAGTAGTAAAGATTCACAGAAGAGAGAAAAGAGAAAAATGAAAAAGAGAAAAAAAGGGAAAGAGGTCAACAACATCACATCAGAATAAAAACAGATTAGATAATAGGGGGCAGTGAGGTACAAACAAACCAAAAAAAAATAAATAAATAAGTGAATAAATGAAGTGAATGAGATCACAGTAGGGGATCAAATGAGGACTTGCAAACAGATAACTCAAACAAATTAAAATACGAGTTTTTAAATGAAATAAAGTCAATAAGTTAAAGTTGAAAAGTAACTAAAAGAAAGTCTGTAAAGGTGAGTTTTCCAAAGTGTTTTCAAAGATGTCTCTGATTCTCCTCAGGAAGGTTTTTTCAGAGTCGAGGGTCTCTGATGGAAAAAGCTCAATCTCCTCCCAAGCCTTGACTTTGGTGTCACCTGAGGATCTCAGACTGTGGGACGGTTCATATGATGTTAGCATTTCTATTATTGAACCCAAGACAAGACCCAGATGAGCTTTAAAAGTAATCAATAAAATCTTTGAACCTAAAACGCACAGAGAGGAGAGGAGAGGAGAGGAGTGACGTGACGTCGACAGTTAAAACCACAGATATATTTGGAAGACTAGATGTGCTGTAGCAGCCCGCAATGCCCAGCCTATGTGACAGCCAGCAGACGCAAATTTTTCATTAAAGCCATTAGATGTATATGGAAAATAAATCAAAACTTGCTCATTTCTCAACTGTTTTTTTATGCTATTTACTTTATATTCAATGTCAAAACGTGCTACTAATACAGAACATTTGTATCTTTTTTTAAATCAAATGTTCTTTGTTAATGTTTAAAGTAAACCGCATGAAAATCGGTCAAGAAATAAGCAAGTTATGATTTATTTTCAATGTACATCTAATGCCTTTAATGGGACATTGCCCCTGCCAAGATGGCTGCCACGTTTGCACTCGGCTCAAAGGGGCATGTCGTATCTACTGTTCATATCTATGAATCAACTTCTTATTAATTGAACAATCTTACTCAACAATCCACATAAAAGCAACCGAGTTGAAGGAAAAGGACCATGAGGATTTTTCCACGTCTTATGATTGATCATATAATCTCTCTGGACACTAAAGGTAATCGAAAATAACAGACAATTAGCCAGTTAGCCACTTGTTAGCTCAGCAAGCATACTGTCATACTGTCTCTCTGAAATCTACCTTAAAACTGAAATATTAAATAGAGGAGGAGTTATCACAGAGATTCATGTGGGAAAACAGGGAAAATAGATGTAACAGTGAATAAGAGCATCATGATGAAGGTTTGTAAAAGGTAAAAAGACAGCTTTTGTCAGGTCTGACCTCAGGAAGAGAAGAAACAGTTCAATTTTCTCTTTAGTGTTTTTTCTGTGTGAAGAGAGAAAAAGTCTTTAGCAGCGGTCAAATATCAGATTCAGTGTTTAAGAAAGGACAAAAGTAATCTTAAAGATCAGCAGGTAGCTGAAGCTTTGAGCCCGACATTATCTGGAGAAAATTGCAGATTTGTTGAGGGGCAGTTTTTCAGCTGTTGTGTAATCCACAGCGAATCTTTGAGCTCCTGGGGTATTTACGCTGTGAGTCAAAATCAATCTGCAGTGTTTGTGTTAATTGTTACAAAGGAGGATTCTGCCAACGCAGCAAGAAGCTTTATAGAAACAGACAAAACTTCTGAATATGAGATCAGAGCTCAGCTGGTTTAGCTCTTGTTTACAACACGAAACACAGAATAAAACTAGACGTCACAAATATAATGAGGTCATTGTGACAGGAAGAGATGTAGTTTTTGTTAAAGTAGAACTAACATAAGCGTGCGTGCATCTTCCAACATACATACTGCATGTTGAGAGCTGAGTGCTCTCTCAGCCCTTCAGAAACAGCAGGTTTGGTCAAATATGCATCGCTATAAGAGCTCAACCATATATGACTTATCCATTATTCACACTGTGACATCCGGTTCTCACAGAAGCCCGGAGAAGTTTCAGCATGTCTGCCCTCCTTTTTCACACTCATTTCATCCTCGCCAAGCGGCAGCAGGACACACTTTAGACTCTGAAGCTGTTTAAAAAGTTTTTCTCTGTGTAGTTTCTTTATTTCCACTAAAGTTAAAACTCACTGCTCAAATTAAATTAGACTACAGCTAAACCTAAACTCTCCCTCATCAGACATCGTTCTTGTGTTGTTAATCGCTGCCTGAGAAGTGACTAAATTAGTGGGTTATAACTGGATTTAAAGGTGGGCAGCAGGTGTTGTGCTGAGCTGTGAGTTTGACTTTCTTTTTGAGGCTTTTCTCTGGGTTCAGGTGGAGGACACGCCTGAATTTGACTCACTTTTTGAAAAACGTCCTCCCTCCTGGGACCTCAGACTCTAGCTGTTTTTCACAGAGACAGAAATAGAGCACAATCACACACAAATATACCGCAAAGCAACAGCTTCAAGATACGGGATAAGACGGGGATATTAGCACAAAGCTCCTCCTCCCCCTCTTTTCCATCAGTTTGACCTCCTTTCTCCTCTTTCATCTCCATCCCTCTTGTCTTCCCTCTTTCCCTGATGACCTGTTTCCCTCTCCGCCTCTCTCTCTTTCTGACCTGCTGACTGATATTGCAGCTCCGGGTGTTTTACTGGTCGATGGACAGACCATAAACTCTTGATTTATAGTGTCCTCCCTCCCCCCTCGCTGTTTGTCTCAGAGTGAATGGGCGTCAGGAGCAACTTGGATATTTACAGCCCCATTTAGAGTCTCTGCTGGCAGAAAAACAAACCACATAGGCTTGATTCTGGGCGACGTGTGTGTGTGTGTGTGTGTGTGACTCAGAAAATACCTGTTATTATCTTTTATTTTGATGTTAGCTTGACAGGAAACTCAACCATCCAGCCATTTGTCCAACTACCCATCGTTGTTCACTGCAGTCCATCCTTTCCGCCACTATTTACTTATCCAAGTGACCATCCACCCATCTATCTGCCCATCTGGCCACATACATGTTTCCATCCACTTAACAAGTCTCCCTACATCCCTCGTCCACCCATTTTTATGCCCATCCATTTGTTCGTTTACTTATCTAACCAGTTATCAGGCCATCTATCTGTGCATCCATCCATATTTGCATTGACATTTATAACCAGCACATCCATCTTTTCAGTCAACCTTTAGCTATTTTTTGCAGTTTCTTTCACTTATTTATCCATCTGTCTATCCCTTAAACCATTATCCTGTTCTTCTTTTGGCCTATTTATTCATCAGTTCATCCATCTGTTAATTTACGAACACATCACTCTCTCTGTCTGCCAGTATATCCCCATTAAATACATAGACCAATATATCAACCACTGCTCTACACATTTTTGTGTCTTTGTAATATCAATTTGCTCATATAATTATTCATCTATGATTTCATCCATCAATCCATCCATCCATCACCTATCCATCCACCTTCCCTACCATCTATTTCAACACTACTCTTTTTATCCTTTTGCAATCTGATCTTCAGACACTTCGTCTAAAATTAAAATAATATTATTTGGTTTCTTCAAAAAGTATGACCCTTAATAGAGCCATCCATTCATCCGTCATTCAACATTAAGTTATCAATATATTTGTCCAACATTCATCCATCCATTTTTCTATCTTTAACCTATCAAACATCCACCTATCCATCCATCTGGCATACCAGCATCCATCCAGCCATCCAACATAAACCCCATAAAAAAATGACTATAACTGCTTTTATTCTCTCTACCTTTTGTTTACTGGTTGTTTCCTATAATTCCAGTTTAAAGACTCAGCAATTTATGTTCTTTTCCAGGAATTCTCCTAAAACTGTATATTTATTATTCTATCATTACCATCAATACTGTTAATCTAAACCCAAGCTATTCATCTAGTGTATTTGTCTACAACAGTAAACACAAAAATATCCTCACTTATTACCATTTATTTCAGTCATCAGTCTATCTGCTCAACTATCAGTCTGCTAATTTATGAAATATTTCCCCTCCTTTCATCTGTTGCTTTTCTATTTCCTGTTATCCATCAAGGTTTTCATCAGCAAATCATTCTGACACTTTATCACAATAGATCCATTACGGGTGTAAGCGAAAGTATATACACAGTTTTCACAATAACATTTAGGTGTAACATAACATCCTTTGCATTTACTTATACATCCAACTATCAAGTCATCAGTTTTTGCTGATGTATACATTCACTTATCAATCTATTGAATTTCTCCATCCATTAACATCCATCCATCCATTTACTTTATTACCCATCCATCAACCATCCGTCCATCTATCCATGCTCTCTGTTTAAAATCCCACTTCATTTCCAGCCACCCATTTATTATTTATCCATTCACTTTTTACCCATTCATCATCTGTTCTCTCAACAATTTATCAACAGCAGATAAAAGATAGAGGTTTGATGATAACAGAACAAACAGGTGGACGTTTCTGTAGTAAAAGAGACTTTTTGTATTCAAATTATAATACATTTTGTGAGGATGTAGTTAGGAATATTAAAGATCCATCTAACTGGTCTCACCATTGGTACCATTAGTATTGGTAATACAAAAATTAAATACAACATAGGAAACAAAGTGAGCTTCTGTTTCTTACTACTCCTACTAAAGTATCTGGAATAATAAAAAAAAAAGAGAAAATACATTAAATATATTAAAACAAAACCAAAACCTCCAACCGATTGGATAGAGTTACCATGGTAACAAAAATGTTCTATCTTCAAGGCTGTTCAGCCGAGGCATGTTAACATTTAAGTCTATGGGAGCAGACTCACTTTTGGAGAAAGCCCCAAGTGGCCAGTTGTGGAACTGCAAATGTCCGTGCTTTTACAGTAGCCTCATGTTGCAGCCCTGTATTGCCTGCTTGACATAAATACCTACTGGTCACTTTGGCAACACAAATTTTACTTGCGGTCATGATTTATATCAACTTACTGTACATTTGGTGTATAATTCATATATTTTAAACTCCAGATCATCACAGACTGTCGTCCCCTTGTCAAAGTGGTGTGATCTTCATGGGAAGTAATCTTTTTGTCATCATGCTAAAAGAAAAACCAAAGACCAGATCTAATATTCCTTGGACACTTTTTAGAGTAACCAAATTATATCTTGCTGATGCTTCCCCGGTGTAATTATTGGCAGCTTGAATTTTACATTACACTTTTTTTCCTTTGCTATTTCAGTAGATGTGTCATGTGGCAGTAGAGTGGACACACAAACATTTTGACGAACATTATTTCTCAAAATGCACACCTAGCTAACATTAGAGAGTCACCATTAGTTAAATTTTTACATTAATTTAAACCATACGAATGTTAGGTTTCTGCCAAGTCTGTTCTCCTGAATGCTGCTGAAAACTACCTACTGTACCTTTAAGTTAAACTCAAGCCCTGCTGCTTTTCTCTTGAATTCTCTTTGTGTGACTTGCTGTCAGGGTTCTCCAACTCTGGCCAGTTTATCGTTGATGTGACCAACAAACAAAATCTTTCTGAGTGACTCTCAGTAGCTGATGGGCGCTGAATCCCTGAGCGTTTCTCTCCTGGGAGCTGTTTCCTCTCAACACCATGAATCAATGTGGATTACATGAGCTCAGTCCTGACACATGCAGCAGCATGCAGCCCTGATCGCATGACCGTGTGGCTCTAACAAGCCGCTGTGTGTGTCTGTGTGTACATGTGCTAGTGTGTGTTTTGGGAATGCTGGGTTAAAGAGTGACTGCGGTATTTTCTTGTAGCTAGATGCCGCAATGGAAACATAAATAAATACTGCACCATACATTTTGGAGCACACACACACACACACACACAGCATACACACACCGAGAGGCAGGCAGGGATTCCCTCTCTGAAACACGTCCACACTCTGTCGCTGCACCGATAAAGCCCTGATAGGATGGGGGCTGTTTCAGTGCTACGCTCGGATGTTTGGGGATTGATTTAAAGGCTCTACAGTAGCTACCTCATACTATTCCCTGAATATCTTTCAGCTGGTTTTATCTAGATTTATGGAGCTGAACATCAGGTAAAGCTTCTGTGTTTCAGTTACAGTAGTTTCAGTTTTCTTTCAGCATACTATCGCTCTCTTTGGTCAGATGTACAACCCTGGAATTGGACTTATGTAACTGGACCCTCATAACCTGGTTATTAAAGAAAGATTTCAAGAGAAGACCCAAATCTGTCATTTGATATAATGTTCCTTAAGAGGCAAAAATTAAAGGACAATTTGGGGTTTGTGGTGAGTTAATTAAAATGATTATAGTTATTATTGTTGTTGTTGTTGTTGGTGAAATATAAATAGACCTTTATATAGCTGAATATCATCTGCTTAACAGTGGTACCATACATTATGGTTACTGACGGTTTGATTTAGAGGAACAGCTAAGGACCTAAAACAGACCTTTGAGGAACACCACAGCTACAGTATGCAACAGGTGAGGTGGACTGACTGATAAAAACCTGACAGACAGTTATAGAAGCAATAACCTGAGAGCAGTCCCTTTGCTGCTAACCCAGGATTCAAGGTACTGAAGGATTTAAACTAAATATCTTATTCCAAATTTCAGATTGGGTCCCATCAGATGGCTTTTATCAGATCATGTTACATTCACCAAAAGATGCTGAGTCTGGGAGTGCTTTTATTCTGACAGGATGGGACAGGAAATAGAGGGAAAGAGTGGAAAAGAGTCACAAGTCTGAATCAAACTTGGGCTGCTTGCGTAAATGGGGTGTACTTAGACCGCTAGGCCAGTGGCCCCGTGTTTACAGTTTGATTAAATATCAAATATTGAAAAATTAGAGCTAAATAACAAGGGAAAAGCTGCTTCTACTGTAAATAATGAAAGATTTGCAGTTAAATTGTAAATAAATAAATTATTCATGATGCAGATAGAATAATTAAAAACTTGTGTAATGTCCGCTGGGTACATCTCTGACATGTCCCTCCATGCTTTTATTGTTTTGAATGGACTTTCTTACCAAAGTCTCTGGGAACATCCTCATATTTTTGTCGTGGCACCATAATCCAGCAGATCTAAGGTGATAAAAATGTTGATATTTTCATCTGAGTTATTCAGCCTTCAGTTATTACTGTGTGCTCAGAGAGTAATAAGCTTATCGAGCAGGAGCGAGCGCTGAGGACAGGGCTCTGCAGACTCTTTTTTATCTCTTTGTTTCTCCTCTCAGGCTACGACGGGCTGCTTTAGATCACAGGTGAAGGTTTTATGGCCCGTGTGCAGCCTGAAATCAGGACCTGCTGACACCGTGCAGCGCTGGAAAGAGAGACAGCTCATGCAATTTTGGAGATATTTTTAAACCCAGGTGTTATTGTGTCAAAAGACAGAAAGCAGAGTACTGTCAAAGTGAAGGTTGGTCAGCAGGTTGGTTTGGTGCATGATGGTTAACCAGCAGCTTGTGATCAGAGCGGAGCGGGTTGATTTAAGCTAAAATGACTTCAAGGCGTGTTAGATAATGAGCAACTCTTTATTGTGTGTATCACTCAGAGAGGCCCATGAGTCCGCACTTTGCAACAACAAGGAATAAAATGACCACAAACTCATCCATAGAGAGACGTCCACAGGTCCAGAGCTCCCAGCAGCTTGATTTACACCCCTGATTCTTTACCTCCCATTTAGCAACATTTATGTGGACATGACGGTAAAGGGAGCAACAGCGTTTAAGAGCAGCGACACATCAAACCCCTGGTGTTTCCCAGAGAAGTAGATATGAATTCGTAATGAGAAAAGAGATGGAGATGGAGAGAGGTGACACGCGGGGGGAAGGGACGAATGAAATGTGTCCTGCCACTGGAGAGTTATGGCTGCCAGTCAGGGTTTCATTTCAGGCTGTGGAGGGAAAAACACTTCCACACACGAACACAACATACATGATCCCCTCCCCTTCCTCTACACCGTGGGTTCATCGGTCTGTGGAAATGTTGACGAAGATAACACTTCGTTTGCATGATCACTCCCCTGTGGTTTTTATCATCTCCGTAACCGAAGCATCACCAGTTCAGCCGCTGACCTTGCATCTGTTCATAAAACTCCTCCCCCGGTGGCTGTAAAGACAACGCTAGGTCCATTCGTCTCACTGTGGTCAAATCAAACAAGAAAGTAATGATTTCACCTCGCCGTCCTCCAAAGCTGCTCAAAGCTTCTCTGTTACTGCTGATTGTTTCTCTAAAGATCGAAGATTGACGACGGTTTCCTCTACAGAAACCACAAAGGCTTTTGTGATAGAGGCAAACGGTGATATTGATGGTGGCAGCTTATATTTGATTATCTGACTACAGTTTGTTGGCCGCTACGATGCTTCCTACTTTTCTGATGACGGTGGGACAAGCAAGCCAAACTGATTTGCCGATAACCTTATGTTTGATGCTACTACTTAAGGCCACTAGAATAAATTACAAGTTAATAAGTTCCCACGATTTAACAACTGGAAGACAAAGAGCAGCAGTCGCCATTAAAGGCAAACTGGAGCTAGTTACAAACCCAGCAGACTGAGCGGCGTCCCATCACGGCTCAGAGGAGAGAGAAATGACCCACAAGAGCAGCTCGTCCAAGTCTTTACCAGCTTCGACTCAAACATACGGTGCTTGAATTCAGTCGCCATGGTTTCCTGTGAAGAAACGAGGAGGGTTCATAGCTGGACCGCAAACTAGTGATATGATGAGCATAGACATCCCCTTCCTGACAAGTGGAGAGATGCAGACTCTCTGACGCAGTAGTATGTTATATTTTGATCGATTTCTGATCAGTTTTTAGGAAACAGGAAAGTGCACTACTCCTTAATTTGGTATCTGTGGTGAGACGCCTCCACCTCCTGTTTTATTTTGGTTGAACTTCCTGTTTTCCTTGATTCCCTGGTCTGGCTTGACTGTGTTTCAGAGCACTCTCCCTCTCCCCGGGCGCTGAGGCTGAGCGAGACTCCACACCTGTGCTGCATCAAGGCCCTTTACGAAGCCAGCAGCCCTCAGTCTCAGCGCCTGAGTATTGTCTTCGCTCCTGAGCGGTACAGACGCTTCTCCCGGCCTTCTCCTCGGCTAAGTGCTCGTGATTTTTGCTCCCTGTGATTCCTCATACGTCTTCTCACCTCTTTCTCTTCTGCTTCTCCACAGTGTCTCCAGCCCACACATCAGTCAGCCGGCCAAACCGGACTTTCCTCGTGCCCCCGTGTTCTGGACATTAAATACATCTTTAATTTGCTATCTGCCTCTGAGTCTGCTTCTGGGTCCACAAAATACACCACACGCCACAGTATCTAAACTTATACATAAAAAAGTGAGAGGCCGTTTCAGATTTGCTGTCTGTCAGGATGGAAAAACATTATTATTGTTATTGTCAAGGTGAAACATGTCCTTTCAGCCCTTCATAAAGTACGGCCTTTAGATATGTAGTTTTATTGTTTAAGAGGATATAAAGGCTGAATCATTGAAACTGAAAAACTTCCTCCACTTGTTTAAAGAGATGAAGTTTGAGGCTGAAACAAACAGCTGCTCATTCAACCAAACATGACTTTTTTTTTTCTCATGCCTGATCAGTTTTAGCGCGCTTACATGTTTGTCCTCTTACATCTCTGCTTCTGTCCTCCTCTGTATTTTGTCAAACACGCTCTGTCACAGGAAAAACACTCATCGCTGGTCATATATTATTGAAGAGCCTCTGCATTTAATTATAAATGACTGAGTCCCTTTGAGAGCGCTAATGAATCTCTTCTCACACAGCTTATTCCCACCGGCGGACTCCGCTGTCCTGTCACTCAAACTGTGAGCCCGCCCACCTGAGTACACACAGATGAGTTTAAAAAAAAAGCCGTTTTTATGACACTGTATTCTTCATTTTTACAAGTTCACACAAAATAAACGAGCCTGGATCGAAGCCTCGTGTATGGACGGACTCCGCTGGGTTAAAGTGATGGATTGAAGCCGATACTTTACATGGATAGGATGTGGTTTTGTCGATATGTGCTTTAAAAGCCTTGTGAAGATGTATTGAGGGCTGCTGGTGCTTAGTCATTTTGTAAGAGCAAAGTATGGTGGCCCTGAGAGCTCAATGGACCATAATTGAAGGAAAAAAAACAAGCAAATTAACAAAAAAAGGAGGAAAATCTTTCTCACTTTGACAACACCAGCGCAGCATTTAGAGAAATTGCAGCAATTACAGACAGCACAACCAATTACCAGAACACATTGGTATTTAGCAGAGGGCAAAACAACAAAAGTGTCCCGCAGAGGCACTAAAAACCACGACCTCGGCTTTTACACATAGACACTTATGGCTGTTAGTATCATGGAGGGGGGAGACTCTGCAGACCACAGACCCTTTATAGGTGGACTAACTGTCAGTTATTGTTAATATGGTGAATCTGAGGTCCCAGATCCTTTCAGCTGAAAACCAATTTCATCAATTAGCCACCTGAGACGTGTGCCAGTCACATTTTAATTTGTGTAATTATTTCTGTCGTAAATGTGGAGGGAGGAGACATAAAAAAAGCAGGAAATTTACCAGGTAATGCAGCAAACAGCCACTTCCCATCAGCAAAAATTTAATACAGACAGGAAATGATGGTTGATTCTCGTCATATTTTAGTCAGAGAATTTAGTCAAAACATCCTCAGAGAATTTAACAGCAGATTTTGTACAAAGATGTTTCACCTGATGCCAAAAATTTAAGTAAGAAGAAAAATATCTGAGATTTTTTAGTCATTTTGGCTTTAAGCGTATTACTATACATGCATTATTTATATACAAAAAAAAAGTCTGAAATTCTTTCTTTTTTACATTTAAAGCTCCTGTAGGGAGTTTTTCATCATGAATGAAATGGACTGAAATTCAAAATGATGCCTGATCATGTCATCCAAAGCGAACAAGACTATAAGGGACAAGCCTGAGGATTTTTGTATCATTATTTTTAATGGCTGAAACTGGTAGGAGGGGGTAGGTGTCAGCCAGTTAGCTGAAGAAACAAACCTGTTTTCACAGTTTCCTCTTATCCTGGATGAATAATGATATTTGATGGTCAAAAGTCAGCAGATGTGATTCGTTGTTCAGAGGATGAGGGAATCTGCTTCATCATGAAACTGACAGTTCCTCACAGAGCTTTACTGAACCTCTTGGGGTCATTACACACCAGGGCGCTTTATTTAAAAACCTCATAAAGTTAACGCAAGCTTCTACATCGGCTACCAACTTTTGCAGACCGTAAAATCAACTGTAATTTTTTCTAATTTTGTGAACATTCGCTGGTTAACTGCTATATAAATCTATGGCCTAATATAATTCTTACTTTAGACATGTGGCAAGCTGGATCTGGATCAGTTGGCTCCATGTAATTTGTCCTCTTCTTCTGCATAGTGGAGTCAGCTGATGAGACAGTTCTTGTGTAGCCCCCTTACTCAATTCCTATTTTTTTCAAAAGACTATTACCTACCAGATCATACACACAGTATTTTGCATGGGAGAGGAATTGGTGATGCTACGAAATATAAACCAGGGAATTGTGTGATGTGTCTGTGTGAGTGTTAACTCCCATGCACGTTTTAAGATAGCCCCCCCAAACGTGCACAACATCAATCAACAGAAACTACACACGTTTAAATACACAAATGTTCACATTTATTCACAGGATAAAGAAATAAAAAGAGAAGAAAAAAAATAATAGTTCTTAATACCCGGGATTTTATAAATCAGTCTGTGGTACCACGTACGTTGGCGCGCTGTTGGAGCTCTTGTGTGGGTGTGATTTCTAAGTCGTTTGTACTCACGGTCCCTTGCAAATTTAGTGTGTTGTTATAACCATCACGGAAGCACAGAGCCGGAAGAAGGAGAAAGTCGGTCCACATGCCGAAGTCCCAGGCGCGGCAAGTCCGGAGCACCTCTACTGTTCCAGCACGAGCGGACAGTATCCGAAGCACACTGACAGCACAAAAAACAAAACTTCACATACACGTACTCACTCACAACGTGTATGCGATAACAATAAGCAGTCTGATACTCACTCAGGAACTTGAAATTAACACTCGACCTCGCACATGCATCCTGACTCCAGTCTTCCTCTGCTCCTGCACAGTCGATGCTAGTCAGCTAACAATTTAGCATATAGCACATTTACGAACCTCGCCGAATCTAACAACAACACTCACCCGCACGTCTCGCAACAACCACACACCCCCGCCCCGATCCAACACACCGAGCCTCAATCCTGTTGGGTCTTCATTTAACACTTAACAACGAAAGAACAAACTTTCACACTATTATTTCGCCTTCTCTCGGCATCGCTGGAGCATTTTTCCGCTCCGTCAATCACCGCTCTCTCTCACCGAGATGAAAACCCCGCCTTCCCAAAAACTGACAGGTCCCACTCCTCACCCAAACTTGACAATGATCGGCGATACGCTCGTGACGCCTGTCAATCACGCAATACAGGGACAGCCGGACATGAGGCGTTCAAGGTCTGCTTTAACTGCGGGATATTTAAAAACTTTAACCAAAAAATTACATTCCTGAGATTATGAGGTGATATCTTACTTAATCAACAAGACAAATAAGAGCTATCACAGAATCAAACAACTTTAAGAATGAACTCAAATTACTAGGGCACTACACTTGAAATTGTCCAAGGGACATTCTGAGGTGTTGTTGGAATTTCTCAGGATACAATTTAAGCTCCTGAATCGTTGTGTGGAGCTCTCCCATCTCCCGTTACAAGGTCAGTTTTGGATGTACCCAGACACTTTGATTGTTCTTTTTCTACAACCATGACCAGGTCATCATCACTTGAGGATGTAGTCACCATTGTTTCTCCTTCATCTCTCTCTCCCCTCTGTTCTCCCAAGGTGTATTTTTTTGCGAATATGTGAATTTTATTTGCGTCGCACCATGTGTATCGGAAAGGTGTAAGCCCAATTCCTGCATTCGCTGGTGTGTAACGACCTCTAGTATTAGCTGAATGACTCAGCGTCTGTATGTGAGTCTGAAGAAATCATGACCCATATTTTAGCAGGTGTAGATGGACGTGAACCATGAGCTGGCTCGGCTCAGATATAGTCGATAACCACAGGTAAGAAAACTCAAAGTAAAGTTAAGATACTCATCGATATAGCTGGGCATGTTCATCTGTTAGCTTTTCTTTCCTTTAAAGTCTTCGTTTACATATTGGCGTTACACAATAAAAGCCTTGTTTCTACCTGAGTTTGTGTAAGGAGGTGAATCAACGTCTACATCTATGAAACTCCTCCCCACACATTGAATTGCTTGATGAATGCAACAACAATAATTTAACAATGATAGAAAAGAGCAGATCAGGAAACAGGGAGGTCACATGCTGATTGAAAAGTGAATGTGAAAGCTTTTAAATTGTTTACCTGCTAAAAAAAACTGAGACTCTGATTTTAATGTCACCTCACTTCACTTTCCCCAGAGCGGTTAAACTCCAGCTGGAGTCAGCCACAGGACGCTGCTCTTTGTGCTCAGATTAAGGATGAAGAATTGTGTCTGGTAAGGCCTCTGTGTCTTTTCTTATGCTCTTTCTCTTTCTTTCCTCCCCCTCCTCCCCCTCAGCCGCCTTGATCTCTCTTTAGTCCCTCATTCCTTCTTCCAGAGAGAATCATTAAAGCTCAGATATGATAGTTGGGGAACATCAGAGAGAAGCTGTAGCCCTTCGTTCTGCTCCCTCACCTCCTCTTTGCAACTTCTCCTCTGCTTTTTTCTTTATCTCATTAACATTTGACATTTACATTCATCCTCTTCATCCTCCTCGTCGCTCTCACTGTGCACTGTCCCACCTCACTTCCTGCAGATTTCCAACAAAAACCCAGAGAAACTTCTCGATCTGTTGTGAAAGAGATCCTCGAGTTTCCCTCAGCTTCGATATCCATGTTTTGCCCTTTTTACCAGTAGAGTGGAGACAGTCTCTGAGTCTGGATGTAAAAGAGGTCCTGTTTTGGTTCTGGTTCAGCCTCCCTTTGCTTGGTTTACCCCGCTTGTCATTCACACTGTCTCCTGGTTTCACTTTGCAGAACTCGTCCTCATTCTCATTCTGCTCCCTCTGCTCTCTCTCTCTCATGTTTTGGTGTTCCTCTGTGTCTCTCGCCCCGGCCTGCTCTCTCTTTCTCTCTGACAGGTAATCAATGAGCAGGCAGCCATGGTGGAAGAGGCTTCAGCAGCATGGATTTCCAATGGGAGCGTTGACCCCATGGTGGTGGTGGTTGGGTGGGGTATCACTGGAGCGTGCCACAAAGTACGCGATGTCCCACTCTGTGTGTGCACAAGCACACTCTGACGAATACTCTGTGTTCTGTGTTTGAGGGACGGCAGCCAAACTCCGGTTTGATGTTAAATGTGTTTCAATCATGAAGCCCGAGGGTCTTGTCCATGAAACGTGAGCAGAATAAATTTGTATGTTAACTGTTCGCCGCAGGAAATCTACACGTGACCTGGTTTTTGTCAATACTTGAGCGGCTCTGATCTTCACAGAGGCGCTAACAGGATCCACATCTGAGTCTGTTTTCTGCATGATCAGCAATAATAGATGTAGGGCCCTAGTAATTTGAGTTCATTCTTAAAGTTGTTTGATTCTGTGATAGCTCTTATTTTTCTTGTTGATATCACCTCATAATCTCAGGAATGTAATTTTTTGGTTAAAGTTTTTAAATATCCCGCAGTTAAGGCAGACCTTGAACGCCTCATGTCCGGTTGCCCCTGTATTGCGTGATTGACAGGCGTCACGAGCGTATCGCCGATCATTGTCAAGTTTGGGTGAGGAGTGGGACCTGTCCGCTTTTGGGAAGGCGGGGTTTTCATCTCGGTGAAAGAGAGCGGTGATTGACGGAGCGGAAAAATGCTCCAGCGATGCCGAGAGAAGGCGAAATAATAGTGTGAACGTTTGTTCTGTCGTTGTTAAGTGTTAAATGAAGACCCAACGGGATTGAGGCTCGGTGTGTTGGATCGGGGCGGGGGTGTGTAGTTGTTGCGAGACGTGCGGGTGAGTGTTGTTGGTAGATTCAGCGAGGTTCGTAAATGTGCTAGATGCTAAATTGTTAGCTGACTAGCATCGACTGTTCAGGAGCAGAGGAAGACTGGAGTCAGGATGCATGTGCGAGGTCGGGTGCGAATTTCAAGTTCCTGAGTGAGTATCAAACTGCTTATTGTTATCTCAGGCACGTTGTGAGTGAGTACGTGTATGTGAAGTTTTGTTTTTTGTGCTGTCAGTGTGCTTCGGATACCTGCCACTCGTGCTGCGACAGTAGAGGTGCTCCGGACTTGCCGCGCCTGGGACTTCGGCATGCGGACCGACTTTCTCCTTCTTCCGGCTCTGTGCTTCCGTGATGGTTATAACAACACACTAAATTTGCAAGGAACCGTGAGTACAAACGATTTGGAAATCACACCCACACAAGAGCTCCAACAGCGCGCCAACGTACGTGGTACCACAGACTGATTTATAAAATCCCGGACGAGCCCCCACGTGTAGCATCACCAACTCCTCTGCCATGCAAAATACTGTGTGTCTGATCCGGTAGGTAATAGTATTTAAAAAAAATAGGAATTGAGTGAGATAAAGTTGTAGCCATGCAGGATGGAGAGTGTGTGCCCCGTGATCATTAAGTTTTCAGCTCTACTAGAACGTTTACATGTTCAAAATATTGATTTATGGCATCAGTCTGACTGGACCTGGGGTCCGTTTCACGTAGGTGGTTCAACAAACTCTGAGTTAAATCCTTAACTCTGAGTTGATCTACTCTGAGTTAGGAAACTCTGAGTTTCCGGTTTCACAACACCTGATTTGAGACGGTTTTAACAACTCCGAGTAGTTTGACCTGGAGTTAAGCACGTGCACGCCAGACATAAACAGCCAGCATCTGTGGAGCGCAGATTCAATGATCAACCAATGGAAACAGGGAGAAGGAGGGGGCAGCAGCAAGCCAACAGCGAATTACAGCACGTTTTTAAAAGAAAGTGCAATACAGCAGCAGCTGCAAAGGAGAGGGAGAGGGCTTGGGAGGAAATCGCCGCTCGCGTCAATGCGTAACTTTAAATCTAGTCTCGTGCAATCACAATGACAGACTGTTGCAGGGAAACTGCTTGAATCATTTTGATCATGTTTTACATTGTCAAGTAAGGATTAAGTGGCAGTTTGATCCCTTAGAAAATGCTCTTTTCACACTCAAAAATGAATTTTACTCGCTTATGATGTTCCGTTAAATGATTAGGAATATTAAACTAACTCTCAGTATGTATATGTAAATATATTAAACTAACACACACTACACTCAATATTAGACTTTCACTCAGCAAACAGAAAGAGGGCAGATGCCAGAAAAAACGGGTGGTGGCCCAGCAGCCCCCCCCCCCCCCCCCCCCCGACGATCGAAACCCCCACCTCGTAGCAGCGATCGTCGGACTTGTGTGCGTGCGTGTGTGTGTGTCTGTGGGGGGGGATTTGCGATCGGACCGGCCGCGATCGTCGAACGGGGGGGGTGGGGGGCAGCTCCTCTGCCTCCGTTAAAGGTGGGGCTGCTGGACCACCACCCGTTTTTGTGTTAGTTTAATATTCCTAATCATTTAACGGAACATAATAAGAGAGTAAAATTCAGTTTTGAGTGTGAAAACAGCTTTTTTAAATACTTAATACTTACTTGACAATGTAAAACATGATCAAAATGAGAAAATGCCGATGTCTCACCTGAAACTCTGGGTTTACTGAGTTAAACCTGCTCCCGAGCAGGTTAGGTTCACGGAGTCTGTTACTGTGGTAACTGACCGCGAGGTTGAGTTACCTCTCTTTGTGAAACAGGTTAGAGTTACCCCTCTCTCCCTGGTTTAACTAACCCTCCTTTGTGAAACGGAAAACTCAGAGTTTCCCTGATTTCAGGGTTAACAAACTCGGAGTTTCCACTAAACCTGCTACGGAAACGGACCCCTGGAGTTTTAAAAGACATGTAAGTCTGACTGAAATTGCTCCACATGTGTGTGTACACATGGTCAGAGTTGTGCTTAAATGTACGCACGTTCCTAAGCACAAGTACAGGTTGATAAATTCCATACTTTATGCGGGAATGTTTGTATACACTCACTATCCACACATCTGTGTGTACGCACGGTTGATAAATGAGGCCCTATGTCTCCACCAGGAAAATGAATCTGGTGAAGGTTTTTCGTTATGAGGACTTTAATGTGCAAATTGACCCAGAATGTCTTCTAAATGAGACCCACTGATCAGGTCTTAGTGGTCTGTACACAAGTACAAATTTGTAAGACACCGGTTAAATAAACTATCGATCTGGTGATATTGACACACGGAGACACGTATTTGTCCATGACTCCGCATCTTTTTTGAAAACGGGTCTGCATGTGGATATCTGGGTATTCGTCTTCATGCCGTAGTTGGTACAAATAGAAGAGAAAAGACTGTGACCTCATAGCATCCCTCCTCCTCCCCGCCCCCCAACCCAGGTTGTCACACACACAGCAACAACAACAATGGCGGTAGCTGGGGTGATTTTGTTCTTGTTCCAGCAACTACAAATATTGTTACGATTTTTACACCAACATTTAGAACAGCAACAACACCAGCTACAGCAACAACAGCAACAAGTGCTCATGCAGAGACGCAGCATGTTACGCGTGCACAACTTGTTGTCGTGGAATCCACCTCGGAGCAGAACCAGACGGGCAACCCGAACCCGATTTTGTGTTGCCATGTAAATGCACTAAGCCTATGTACAGTACGGTGTGTATACAGCGATACATGTTTTGGTGCCGACGCCAAGACAATACGGGGCCGCCCACCTGTGAGGAGGGCCTTAATCTCAGTGTGTCTACAAACCTGTTGATGGTAATTAGGAGGGGGTTAGAAAAAGCTGACTCCATCATTTTTAACCCGAGTAGATGTCTCTGGACCTTGTTTCTGGTGCATGATCAATCAGCTCTAAATCCAGCCAACTGTTTTATCAAAGAGATCAAATTAAAAGCTCTGAGTACATGAGTACATCCTAAAATAAGAAAAAAATGTTAAACGCTGAAATAAAACACCAGAAAGATGTAAATGAGTCTGCATCTGTAAAAAGTAGCTTAATGAAGTTAAAATGAGGTCATCCTCAAAGTTTGCAGGGATTTATCATTTTAAACGTGTAACTCTTACAGCCCTTATAATCTGAATTTCAATTCTAACGGTATGAACAGCTTCTCCTCCTGTTCATCAAATCCCTGCAGCCTCTTGAAAGAAGCAGGACAGAAGAGTTGATAAATCTGCAGCCCCTGATTTTAGATGTGACACGTCAGAGTGCAGCGCCATTACACACCACTCCTCACCTTGATTAAATCACCTGGAAATGACACCAGACCGCTGCAGATTAACCTAACACACACACACACACACACACACACACACACACACACACACACACACACGGGTCTGCTCTAATGCAGGAAATGTTGGATTATCTGAGCTCATTAATCCTCTGCATCCCTGCCTCTTTAAAATTCAAAGAAATCAGAGTTTCTGGATTTATTCTTTAAACACATGACGTTTGCAGGCAGACTTCTGACTTTGCAGTTTTCAGATTGATGCAGCTTTATTCCTTCATACTTGCACTAATGAGCTGCAGTAAAATAAGATAAAGTCATCTGCCTCCAGCTACAGATTTATGCTTCTGTGTCTTCACATAATCAAGCTCTGCACCTTCGAGACAGCGAAATAATCTACTGGAGCAAATCCACAGAGTCTGTCAAACATGGACGTGGTTTCTGTAACGTCATCTGTTGGTTTCTGAAGAGATGGTTAAGAAGCCAAGAGATGGTGGGCGCCATATTGGAGATTCTGACCCAGCCTGACTTTGGTGGACCATCAAACAGCTGACAGCAAAACCTCCAATCTGAGGGAGTGGTTTTTTTTTCTTGTTTCTGGTAGAAAAATATTTCTTTCCGAATTTTCTTCACCGCTCAAAGGATGACCCGATGTTTATTCGAGTTAGATATCTTGCTTGGTCACATTTCCTCTCCGACTCTGCCCTTTCGTCTGTCGGCTTGTGCACTTTGGCGGTAGGGCAAGCAGAAGCTCCTATA